CCCATACAGGACATCTCTTTCTCCACATTAAGTGTTAGACATTAGAATTGACAATTTTTGTCTGTCACATACTCTTTTGTCTGTCACATACTATTCTTGTCTGTCACATAAGTGGCGCAACTGATGCGGTATTGCGCTAAGGGAAAATTATTTTGACCGGACATTTTGACCGGAGAGATTTAGATTTGCCGGACTTCAGCATATTTTACCGGTCATTGTCCGGTAATTACCGGCTAACGGGAACTCTGGTGTGTGGAGAACACTGTGTGTGTAGAGAACACTATAACACTGTGTGTGTAGAGAACACTAGAACACTGTGTGTGTATGTGTGTGGAGAACACTAGAACACTGTGTGTGTGTGTGTGTGTGTGTGTGTGTGGAGAACACTAGAACACTGTGTGTGTGTGTGTGGAGAACACTAGAACACTGTGTGTGTGGAGAACACTAGAACACTGTGTGTGTGGAGAACACTAGAACACTGTGTGTGTGTGTGGAGAACACTAGAACACTGTGTGTGTGTGTGGAGAACACTAGAACACTGTGTGTGTAGAGAACACTATAACACTGTGTGTAGAGAACACTAGAACACTGTGTGTGTGTGTGGAGAACACTAGAACACTGTGTGTATAGAGAACACTAGAACACTGTGTGTGTGTGTGTGTGTGGAGAACACTAGAACACTGTGTGTATAGAGAACACTAGAACACTGTGTGTGTGTGGAGAACACTAGAACACTGTGTGTGTGTGTGGAGAACACTAGAACACTGTGTGTGTAGAGAACACTATAACACTGTGTGTGTAGAGAACACTAGAACACTGTGTGTGTGTGTGGAGAACACTAGAACACTGTGTGTGTATGTGTGTGGAGAACACTAGAACACTGTGTGTGTGTGTGTGGAGAACACTAGAACACTGTGTGTGTATGTGTGTGGAGAACACTAGAACACTGTGTGTGTATGTGTGTGGAGAACACTAGAACACTGTGTGTGTATGTGTGTGGAGAACACTAGAACACTGTGTGTGTATGTGTGTAGAGAACACTAGAACACTGTGTGTGTGTGTGGAGAACACTGTGTGTGTAGAGAACACTAGAACACTGTGTGTGTATGTGTGTGGAGAACACTAGAACACTGTGTGTGTGTGTGTGTGTGTGTGTGGAGAACACTAGAACACTGTGTGTGTGTGTGTGTGTGTGTGTGGAGAACACTAGAACACTGTGTGTGTGGAGAACACTAGAACACTGTGTGTGTCAGCCGGTAATAACCAGAATAACCAGATCTAAATGTCTCAGGGAGGAGAAATCAGCAGAGCTGCCTGCACTGAGTGTGTGTGTGAGGAAGTCCGTGGATTGGTCAATTTGGACCAATCAGCGGGGGCTTAACGTAACGGCTCCACGGATTGGTCCATTTGGTTCCGGGTACCGCATGACCGTATTGCGTCATAGCTCTGGGTGTGGCTACTGGGTATCCAGACGTCACGATGCCCAGGAGAACGAGGCGTTCTGGGGCAGCAGAGACAGGTCTTCTCTGTGTTAGAGCTTTACTCTCTGCAGGGTGCACTCTGAGGGTTAGTGACTCTGAGGGTTAGTGACTCTGAGGGTTAGTGACTCTGAGGGTTTGTGACTCTGAGGGTTTGTGACTCTGAGGGTTAGTGACTCTGAGGGTTAGTGACTCTGAGGGTTAGTGACTCTGAGGGTTAGTGACTCTGAGGGTTAGTGACTCTGAGGGTTTGTGACTCTGAGGGTTAGTGACTCTGAGGGTTAGTGACTCTGAGGGTTAGTGACTCTGAGGGTTAGTGAGGGTTAGTGACTCTGAGGGTTAGTGAGGGTTAGTGACTCTGAGGGTTAGTGACTCTGAGGGTTTGTGACTCTGAGGGTTTGTGACTCTGAGGGTTTGTGACTCTGAGGGTTAGTGACTCTGAGGGTTTGTGACTCTGAGGGTTTGTGACTCTGAGGGTTAGTGACTCTGAGGGTTAGTGACTCTGAGGGTTAGTGACTCTGAGGGTTAGTGACTCTGAGGGTTTGTGACTCTGAGGGTTAGTGACTCTGAGGGTTAGTGACTCTGAGGGTTTGTGACTCTGAGGGTTAGTGACTCTGAGGGTTAGTGACTCTGAGGGTTAGTGACTCTGAGGGTTAGTGACTCTGAGGGTTTGTGACTCTGAGGGTTTGTGACTCTGAGGGTTAGTGACTCTGAGTGACTCTGAGGGTTAGTGACTCTGAGGGTTAGTGACTCTGAGGGTTAGTGAGGGTTAGTGACTCTGAGGGTTAGTGACTCTGAGTGACTCTGAGGGTTAGTGACTCTGAGGGTTAGTGACTCTGAGGGTTTGTGACTCTGAGGGTTTGTGACTCTGAGGGTTAGTGACTCTGAGGGTTAGTGACTCTGAGGGTTAGTGACTCTGAGGGTTTGTGACTCTGAGGGTTTGTGACTCTGAGGGTTAGTGACTCTGAGGGTTAGTGAGGGTTAGTGACTCTGAGGGTTAGTGACTCTGAGGGTTAGTGACTCTGAGGGTTAGTGAGGGTTAGTGACTCTGAGGGTTAGTGACTCTGAGGGTTTGTGACTCTGAGGGTTAGTGACTCTGAGGGTTTGTGACTCTGAGGGTTTGTGACTCTGAGGGTTAGTGACTCTGAGGGTTAGTGACTCTGAGGGTTAGTGACTCTGAGGGTTTGTGAGGGTTAGTGACTCTGAGGGTTTGTGACTCTGAGGGTTTGTGACTCTGAGGGTTAGTGACTCTGAGGGTTAGTGACTCTGAGGGTTAGTGACTCTGAGGGTTAGTGACTCTGAGGGTTTGTGACTCTGAGGGTTAGTGACTCTGAGGGTTAGTGACTCTGAGGGTTTGTGACTCTGAGGGTTAGTGACTCTGAGGGTTTGTGACTCTGAGGGTTAGTGACTCTGAGTGACTCTGAGGGTTAGTGACTCTGAGGGTTAGTGACTCTGAGGGTTAGTGAGGGTTAGTGACTCTGAGGGTTAGTGACTCTGAGTGACTCTGAGGGTTAGTGACTCTGAGGGTTAGTGACTCTGAGGGTTAGTGACTCTGAGGGTTAGTGACTCTGAGGGTTTGTGACTCTGAGGGTTAGTGACTCTGAGTGACTCTGAGGGTTAGTGACTCTGAGGGTTAGTGACTCTGAGGGTTAGTGACTCTGAGGGTTAGTGACTCTGAGGGTTTGTGACTCTGAGGGTTTGTGACTCTGAGGGTTAGTGACTCTGAGGGTTAGTGACTCTGAGTGACTGAGGGTTAGTGACTCTGAGGGTTTGTGACTCTGAGGGTTAGTGACTCTGAGGGTTTGTGACTCTGAGGGTTAGTGACTCTGAGGGTTAGTGACTCTGAGGGTTAGTGACTCTGAGGGTTTGTGACTCTGAGGGTTTGTGACTCTGAGGGTTAGTGACTCTGAGGGTTAGTGAGGGTTAGTAACTCTGAGGGTTAGTGACTCTGAGGGTTAGTGACTCTGAGGGTTAGTGAGGGTTAGTGACTCTGAGGGTTAGTGACTCTGAGGGTTTGTGACTCTGAGGGTTAGTGACTCTGAGGGTTTGTGACTCTGAGGGTTTGTGACTCTGAGGGTTAGTGACTCTGAGGGTTAGTGACTCTGAGGGTTAGTGACTCTGAGGGTTTGTGAGGGTTAGTGACTCTGAGGGTTTGTGACTCTGAGGGTTTGTGACTCTGAGGGTTAGTGACTCTGAGGGTTAGTGACTCTGAGGGTTAGTGACTCTGAGGGTTAGTGACTCTGAGGGTTTGTGACTCTGAGGGTTAGTGACTCTGAGGGTTAGTGACTCTGAGGGTTTGTGACTCTGAGGGTTAGTGACTCTGAGGGTTTGTGACTCTGAGGGTTAGTGACTCTGAGTGACTCTGAGGGTTAGTGACTCTGAGGGTTAGTGACTCTGAGGGTTAGTGAGGGTTAGTGACTCTGAGGGTTAGTGACTCTGAGTGACTCTGAGGGTTAGTGACTCTGAGGGTTAGTGACTCTGAGGGTTAGTGACTCTGAGGGTTAGTGACTCTGAGGGTTTGTGACTCTGAGGGGTTAGTGACTCTGAGTGACTCTGAGGGTTAGTGACTCTGAGGGTTAGTGACTCTGAGGGTTAGTGACTCTGAGGGTTAGTGACTCTGAGGGTTTGTGACTCTGAGGGTTTGTGACTCTGAGGGTTAGTGACTCTGAGGGTTAGTGACTCTGAGTGACTGAGGGTTAGTGACTCTGAGGGTTTGTGACTCTGAGGGTTAGTGACTCTGAGGGTTTGTGACTCTGAGGGTTAGTGACTCTGAGGGTTAGTGACTCTGAGTGACTCTGAGGGTTAGTGACTCTGAGGGTTAGTGACTCTGAGGGTTTGTGACTCTGAGGGTTAGTGACTCTGAGGGTTAGTGACTCTGAGTGACTCTGAGGGTTAGTGACTCTGAGGGTTTGTGACTCTGAGGGTTAGTGACTCTGAGGGTTTGTGACTCTGAGGGTTAGTGACTCTGAGGGTTAGTGACTCTGAGTGACTCTGAGGGTTAGTGACTCTGAGGGTTTGTGACTCTGAGGGTTAGTGACTCTGAGGGTTAGTGACTCTGAGTGACTCTGAGGGTTAGTGACTCTGAGGGTTAGTGACTCTGAGGGTTAGTGACTCTGAGGGTTAGTGACTCTGAGGGTTAGTGACTCTGAGGGTTTGTGACTCTGAGGGTTAGTGACTGAGGGTTAGTGACTCTGAGGGTTAGTGACTCTGAGGGTTTGTAACTCTGAGGGTTAGTGACTCTGAGGGTTAGTGACTCTGAGGGTTAGTGACTCTGAGGGTTAGTGACTCTGAGGGTTAGTGACTCTGAGGGTTTGTGACTCTGAGGGTTAGTGACTCTGAGGGTTAGTGACTCTGAGGGTTAGTGACTCTGAGGGTTAGTGACTCTGAGGGTTAGTGACTCTGCAGAGCGTTCACATGCAGAACCTTCAGAACACAAGGGGACGGGTCAGAACCAGAAAAGCATGACATGGGACCTTTAACTGATCCTGAATGAAACCAACCTGTGCTCTGTGTCTCTGCAGCTCGGGGGGGGCAGACGCCTCGCAGAGATCTGGAGAAACAGCTGACCGGAGAGGAGAAGTGAGTGTTCACACCTGTTCACTGTTCACACCTGTTCACACCTGTTCACACCTGTTCACACCTGTTTAAGTTTTTAGTACAAAAAAACTATTTTACCCTTTTTTATTTTACTATAAAAAAACACCATAAAAATATTTAATCTGAATATTAGTGTCAACTTCCAACTCTTTATTCACTTTTATTGATCAATTTTCATTCTTTTTCATGTTTCACGCTGTGATGTGTTTGTTTACATGATGCCTTTGTTTACATGATGCCTTTGTTTGTTTACATGATGCCTTTGTTTACATGATGCCTTTGTTTGTTTACATGATGCCTTTGTTTACATGATGCCTTTGTTTGTTTACATGATGCCTTTGTTTACATGATGCCTTTGTTTACATGATGCCTTTGTTTACATGATGCCTTTGTTGTTTTTCTAAGTTGTCTCGTTATCAGTCTTGTGTCTCAAAGATGTTTATCAAGGATGTTCCTAACTGCATATTGAAGCAGCAGCGCCCCCTAGTGGACACCAGTATCAGTGCAGTTGATCATTACAAATCTATACATAATATATAGAACCGGTATGAGGTAGAATACAAGGCGCAGTTGGATGTAAACTTAGTTGAGCATAAGTATTAGGAAAAGCTATATGATACCCTCCCCTCTCCTCCTCAGAGCTCTGAGACCAGGAGACCCCGGGTTCTGCGCCCGCGCCCGCGTGCCCATGCCCTCCAACAAGGACTACGTGGTGAGACCCAAGTGGAACATCGAGATGGAGTCAAACAGGGTGAGCATGACGCTTTGTGCTCTGTGGGGGAGATCTGTTCTTATATCACAATGTTCCGGTAACGTGAAGGTTAACGTCTCCTCTCTCCTCGACTCCTCTCTCCTCGACTCCTCTCTCCTCGACTCCTCTGTCCTCTCTACCTGAGAGTTAGAGAATCAGCTTATAGATGTTTCTGTTAGAGTGCTGACAGTCAGAAGCCCTTTCTCAACTCTAATGTTCCCCTCCCTCCTCGACTCCTCTCTCCTCGACTCTTCTCTCCTCGACTCCTCCCTCCTCGACGCTTCTCCTCGACTCCTCTCCTCGACTCCTCCCTCCTCGACTCTTCTCCTCGACTTCTTCGAGAGAGAGGAGAAGAGTCGAGGAGGGGAAGCGAGGAGAGAGGAGGGGAAGCAGCAGGCGGTTAGAGAAATGAGAACTCCTCTCCTCTGAGCGGTCATTTTAAAGAGACGTCCATTAATGATGACAGGAGGCACAGCAGCCCTCTGTCTGATGGACAGATGTGTTCATGACCACTTATATATTTACTTTGATTCATTCACAGTGCGGTATAATGAGACAATAACAGGATGCACACACACACACACACACACACACACACACACACGTGTACGATTTCAGAATCAAACGAGTATGAGAGCACTCTCATAATAACTTAGCGCTATCAAAGACTTCATATTTTATAGCTCCTCCAGAGAGCCTCCTCGATGTGCAGAAATGAGATGTCCTTCAACATGGCGCGCTGACATCGATTTCCGGGTCACTACCGGAGGAGTCGAGGGACCGAGGAGTCGAGGAAGCGCACATTAGAGAATTGAGAAAGGGCTATCGTGTAGCCACGACTGCTAGCTTGAAACAAGGGGAACATGCATTTAAATTAAGTGGTTAAACATCAGCTGATCCCAGAGACCTGGTTCTGGTTTGGTGCTGGTTTTGGTCATGAGCTGGCCTGTGATTGGTCCTCAGAAAGGCAGTAAGAAGGGCATCAGCCGATTGGAGAAGCACAAGCGACGCATCGCGGACCAGAGGAAGCTGACACGCCTGCAGGGAGCCGTGAAGATCAGCGTGGAGGGCAACAGGATGCCTCTGTAGCTCCTGATGCAGCTGCTGGTGCAGTTCCTGCTGACGCCTGCAGGGGGCGTGAGTCCTGCTGCATGGTGTGCAGGAATGAGTCCTGAACTGGACATGAGTCAGCGCTTCCTGTTCCCTCTGCAGTGGTTTAATGAATGTGGTTATAGGTTGTTATCCTGGAATAAGGTCTGTGGTTAACACAAGCTGAAGAGATCAGTAAATACCCCACTGGTGGGTTAAAAAAGTGTCTGAATGAGATGACAAAACGTTGTCACGCCCAACATTAGCCACCTTTAGCTTAGCGGTGGTGAAGTCATGTGACTGTGCTGTAGTTCCTTTATAGCCCAACATTAGCCACCTTTAGCTTAGCGGTGGTGACGTGAAGTCATGTGACCGTGCTGTAGTTCCTTTATAGCCCAACATTAGCGACCTTTAGCTTAGCGGTGGTGACGTGAAGTCATGTGACCGTGCTGTAGTTCCTTTATAGCCCAACTTTAGCCACCTTTAGCTTAGCGGTGGTGACGTGAAGTCATGTGACCGTGCTGTAGTTCCTTTATAGCCCAACATTAGCGACCTTTAGCTTAGCGGTGGTGACGTGAAGTCATGTGACCGTGCTGTAGTTCCTTTATAGCCCAACTTTAGCCACCTTTAGCTTAGCGGTGGTGACGTGAAGTCATGTGACCGTGCTGTAGTTCCTTTGTAGCCCAACATTAGCCTCCTTTAGCTTAGCGTGGTGACGTGAAGTCATGTGACCGTGCTCTAGTTCCTTTATAGCCCAACATTAGCCACCTTTAGCTTAGCGGTGGTGACGTGAAGTCATGTGACCGTGCTCTAGTTCCTTTATAGCCCAACATTAGCAGCCTTTAGCTTAGCGGTGGTGACGTGAAGTCATGTGACCGTGCTGTAGTTCCTTTATAGCCCAACATTAGCCTCCTTTAGCTTAGCGGTGGTGACGTGAAGTCATGTGACCGTGCTGTAGTTCCTTTATAGCCCAACATTAGCCACCTTTAGCTTAGCTGTGGTGAAGTCATGTGACTGTGTTGTAGTTCCTTTATAGCCCAACATTAGCCACCTTTAGCTTAGCGGTGGTGACGTGAAGTCATGTGACCGTGCTCTAGTTCCTTTATAGCCCAACATTAGCCTCCTTTAGCTTAGCGGTGGTGACGTGAAGTCATGTGACCGTGCTGTAGTTCCTTTGTAGCCCAACATTAGCCTCCTTTAGCTTAGCGGTGGTGACGTGAAGTCATGTGACCGTGCTGTAGTTCCTTTATAGCCCAACATTAGCAGCCTTTAGCTTAGCGGTGGTGACGTGAAGTCATGTGACCGTGCTGTAGTTCCTTTATAGCCCAACTTTAGCCACCTTTAGCTTAGCGGTGGTGTCGTGAAGTCATGTGACCGTGCTCTAGTTCCTTTATAGCCCAACATTAGCCACCTTTAGCTTAGCGGTGGTGTCGTGAAGTCATGTGACCGTGCTCTAGTTCCTTTATAGCCCAACATTAGCCACCTTTAGCTTAGCGGTGGTGACGTGAAGTCATGTGACCGTGCTGTAGTTCCTTTATAGCCCAACATTAGCCACCTTTAGCTTAGCTGTGGTGAAGTCATGTGACTGTGCTGTAGTTCCTTTATAGCCCAACATTAGCCACCTTTAGCTTAGCGGTGGTGACGTGAAGTCATGTGACCGTGCTCTAGTTCCTTTATAGCCCAACATTAGCCTCCTTTAGCTTAGCGGTGGTGACGTGAAGTCATGTGACCGTGCTGTAGTTCCTTTGTAGCCCAACATTAGCCACCTTTAGCTTAGCGGTGGTGACGTGAAGTCATGTGACCGTGCTGTAGTTCCTTTATAGCCCAACTTTAGCCACCTTTAGCTTAGCGGTGGTGTCGTGAAGTCATGTGACCGTGCTCTAGTTCCTTTATAGCCCAACATTAGCCACCTTTAGCTTAGCGGTGGTGACGTGAAGTCATGTGACCGTGCTCTAGTTCCTTTATAGCCCAACATTAGCAGCCTTTAGCTTAGCGGTGGTGACGTGAAGTCATGTGACCGTGCTGTAGTTCCTTTATAGCCCAACATTAGCCTCCTTTAGCTTAGCGGTGGTGACGTGAAGTCATGTGACCGTGCTGTAGTTCCTTTATAGCCCAACATTAGCCTCCTTTAGCTTAGCGGTGGTGACGTGAAGTCATGTGACCGTGCTGTAGTTCCTTTATAGCCCAACATTAGCCACCTTTAGCTTAGCGGTGGTGACGTGAAGTCATGTGACCGTGCTGTAGTTCCTTTTATAGCCCAACATTAGCCTCCTTTAGCTTAGCGGTGGTGACGTGAAGTCATGTGACCGTGCTGTAGTTCCTTTATAGCCCAACATTAGCCTCCTTTAGCTTAGCGGTGGTGACGTGAAGTCATGTGACCGTGCTGTAGTTCCTTTATAGCCCAACATTAGCCACATTTAGCTTAGCGGTGGTGACGTGAAGTCATGTGACCGTGCTGTAGTTCCTTTATAGCCCAACTTTACCCACCTTTAGCTTAGCGGTGGTGACGTGAAGTCATGTGACCGTGCTGTAGTTCCTTTATAGCCCAACATTAGCCACCTTTAGCTTAGCGGTGGTGACGTGAAGTCATGTGACCGTGCTGTAGTTCCTTTATAGCCCAACATTAGCCTCCTTTAGCTTAGCGGTGGTGACGTGAAGTCATGTGACCGTGCTGTAGTTCCTTTATAGCCCAACATTAGCCACCGTTAGCTTAGCGGTGGTGACGTGAAGTCATGTGACCGTGCTGTAGTTCCTTTATAGCCCAACATTAGCCACCGTTAGCTTAGCGGTGGTGACGTGAAGTCATGTGACCGTGCTGTAGTTCCTTTATAGCCCAACATTAGCCACCTTTAGCTTAGCGGTGGTGACGTGAAGTCATGTGACCGTGCTCTAGTTCCTTTATAGCCCAACATTAGCCTCCTTTAGCTTAGCGGTGGTGACGTGAAGTCATGTGACCGTGCTGTAGTTCCTTTGTAGCCCAACATTAGCCTCCTTTAGCTTAGCGGTGGTGACGTGAAGTCATGTGACCGTGCTGTAGTTCCTTTATAGCCCAACATTAGCAGCCTTTAGCTTAGCGGTGGTGACGTGAAGTCATGTGACCGTGCTGTAGTTCCTTTATAGCCCAACTTTAGCCACCTTTAGCTTAGCGGTGGTGTCGTGAAGTCATGTGACCGTGCTCTAGTTCCTTTATAGCCCAACATTAGCCACCTTTAGCTTAGCGGTGGTGTCGTGAAGTCATGTGACCGTGCTCTAGTTCCTTTATAGCCCAACATTAGCCACCTTTAGCTTAGCGGTGGTGACGTGAAGTCATGTGACCGTGCTGTAGTTCCTTTATAGCCCAACATTAGCCACCTTTAGCTTAGCTGTGGTGAAGTCATGTGACTGTGCTGTAGTTCCTTTATAGCCCAACATTAGCCACCTTTAGCTTAGCGGTGGTGACGTGAAGTCATGTGACCGTGCTCTAGTTCCTTTATAGCCCAACATTAGCCTCCTTTAGCTTAGCGGTGGTGACGTGAAGTCATGTGACCGTGCTGTAGTTCCTTTGTAGCCCAACATTAGCCACCTTTAGCTTAGCGGTGGTGACGTGAAGTCATGTGACCGTGCTGTAGTTCCTTTATAGCCCAACTTTAGCCACCTTTAGCTTAGCGGTGGTGTCGTGAAGTCATGTGACCGTGCTCTAGTTCCTTTATAGCCCAACATTAGCCACCTTTAGCTTAGCGGTGGTGACGTGAAGTCATGTGACCGTGCTCTAGTTCCTTTATAGCCCAACATTAGCAGCCTTTAGCTTAGCGGTGGTGACGTGAAGTCATGTGACCGTGCTGTAGTTCCTTTATAGCCCAACATTAGCCTCCTTTAGCTTAGCGGTGGTGACGTGAAGTCATGTGACCGTGCTGTAGTTCCTTTATAGCCCAACATTAGCCTCCTTTAGCTTAGCGGTGGTGACGTGAAGTCATGTGACCGTGCTGTAGTTCCTTTATAGCCCAACATTAGCCACCTTTAGCTTAGCGGTGGTGACGTGAAGTCATGTGACCGTGCTGTAGTTCCTTTTATAGCCCAACATTAGCCTCCTTTAGCTTAGCGGTGGTGACGTGAAGTCATGTGACCGTGCTGTAGTTCCTTTATAGCCCAACATTAGCCTCCTTTAGCTTAGCGGTGGTGACGTGAAGTCATGTGACCGTGCTGTAGTTCCTTTATAGCCCAACATTAGCCACCTTTAGCTTAGCGGTGGTGACGTGAAGTCATGTGACCGTGCTGTAGTTCCTTTATAGCCCAACTTTAGCCACCTTTAGCTTAGCGGTGGTGACGTGAAGTCATGTGACCGTGCTGTAGTTCCTTTGTAGCTCAACATTAGAACCCACTCACTAACCTGTTGGTGTTTTGATGCTTTTGTGAAGTTAGTTTTTAGTGTTTTTAACTCTGCATGAGTCTAAAGTAACATGTGCTGAAGAGACACGCTTACAAACACACCTGTGGAGATGAATGTGTGTGTTACCTTTCTGATCACGTTAGCATGGTTTCTAATCCGATGTTCTGTGTCTCCTTGCAGCTCGGCCCCCTGAAGAAGGGGATGTCTCGCGTTGATAAACAGATGAGGAGGATCGCAGATATTCGACGCATGACGAAGCCGGGCCACGCCGTGAAGATCAGCGTTCAGGGGAACCACATGCCGCTCTGATTTGAGATCCTTAGCATTTAGTATTCTTTATTTTGTATGTGTTTTCCTGAATATCCCCAATAATCTCCTGCTGCTCCTCCTGAGGTCAAATCACAGAGAAGAAGTGAGGAAACATTCAGAGTGGATTCCAAAATGATCCTCAGAATCAGAGATAGCTCGATGCTAACATAACGGGTTCATTTGTTGTCCCAATATTAGCTTATGTTAGTAGTTAGCTCCAATGCTCTAGCTCTAAGGTAATTTTAGCCGCTAGCTACGTTAGCTTCAGCTCTGCATTAAGTAACCTTGGCAAGTTAGCATACTAATGTTAGCACACTAGCATCATTAGCCCAAGCTAGGAGTTAACTAATGTTAGCACACTAGCATCATTAGCCCAAGCTAGGAGTTAACTAATGTTAGCACACTAGCATCATTAGCTCAAGCTATGTTAGCACACTCTCATCATTAGCCCAAGCTAGGAGTTAACTCATGTTAGCACACTAGAATCATTAGCCCAAGCTAGGAGTTAACTGATGTTAGCACACTAGCATCAATAGCTGAAGCTAGGAGTTAACTGATGTTAGCACACTAGCATCATTAGCTGAAGCTAGGAGTTAACTAATGTTAGCACACTAGCTACATTAGCCCAAGCTAGGAGTTAACTGATGTTAGCACACTAGCATCAATAGCTGAAGCTAGGAGTTAACTGATGTTAGCACACTAGCATCATTAGCTGAAGCTAGGAGTTAACTAATGTTAGCACACTAGAATCATTAGCCCAAGCTAGGAGTTAACTAATGTTAGCACACTAGCTACATTAGCCCAAGCTAGGAGTTAACTGATGTTAGCACACTAGCATCAATAGCTGAAGCTTGGTGTAATGTTAGCAGTTAGCTACATCAGGTTGAGCTCTAAATATACTAATGTTAACATATTAGCTTCACTAGCTTTAGCTCCAAGGTTAATGTTAGCATCGTTAGCCACATTAGCTCTATATTTTTAAAGGTTAAATCTTGTTTTAAGGGAGTAAAACTTTGAAAAGTCGATTAAGGGCAGAAATAAAGAGATTTCTCCGTGAAGCTGGTTTCAAAGTGAGAACCCTTCGATAACAACGAGCCTTTAGGGATCACGTGTATCCGGCCACCTTCAGGTTGATCAAGTAAAAGTGACGTAGAGCCTCACTAAAGTGCCTCTGATGACGTTAGATGTTACCTCATGACGATACTGCTGATTGAATACCTGTGATTGTTGATTTAGAAACAGATAATGAGGATCATTTCGGGACATTTTGAGTTTTTCTATCCTTCATTTTTCTCTAAACTTTTCTAACGTTGGATTTGAAAACAATTTTTTTTTCCTGACGCTGGTTTTTTTGGTTTTTTTCTGAAAGAGAAGGCGTTGCTCCTTTTTGTCCCTCCTCTGCTGCCGTAGCGTCTGTACAGAAGTCTGAAAGCTGTTCTGATCAGGTGAAACTTTTCTTAATAAAAACTCAGAAACTCACCTGTGCCTCGAGCTCTTCTTTATAAAATATACGGGGTTCATTTCCACCTGGGGTTCCTTAACACCCGGGGTTCATTTACACCCGGGGTTCATTTACACCCGGGGTTCATTTCCACCCGGGGTTCATTTCCACCCGGGGTTCATTTACACCCGGGGTTCCTTAACACCCGGGGTTCCTTTACACCCGGGGTTCCTTTACACCCGGGGTTCCTTAACACCCGGGGTTCCTTAACACCCGGGGTTCATTTACACCCGGGGTTCATTTACACCCGGGGTTCCTTAACACCCGGGGTTCATTTACACCCGGGGTTCATTAACACCCGGGGTTCATTAACACCCGGGGTTCATTTACACCCGGGGTTCATTAACACCCGGGGTTCATTTACACCCGGGGTTCATTAACACCCGGGGTTCATTAACACCCGGGGTTCATTTACACCCGGGGTTCATTAACACCCGGGGTTCATTAACACCCGGGGTTCATTTACACCCGGGGTTCATGAACACCCGGGGTTCATTAACACCCGGGGTTCATTTACACCCGGGGTTCATTAACACCCGGGGTTCATTTACACCCGGGGTTCATTAACACCCGGGGTTCATTAACACCCGGGGTTCATTAACACCCGGGGTTCATTTACACCCGGGGTTCATTAACACCCGGGGTTCATTAACACCCGGGGTTCATTTACACCCGGGGTTCATTATATTTTAGACTCCTCTCTCCTTGACTCCTCTCTCCTCGACTCCCCTCTACTCCTCTCTCCTTGACTCCTCTCTCCTCGACTCCTCTCTCCTTGACTCCTCTCCCCTCGACTCCTCTCTCCTCGACTCCTCTCTCCTTGACTCCTCGACTCCTCTCTCCTTGACTCCTCTCTCCTCGACTCCCCTCTACTCCTCTCTCCTTGACTCCTCTCTCCTCGACTCCTCTCTCCTTGACTCCTCTCTCCTCGACTCCTCTCTCCTTGACTCCTCTCTCCTCCCCACCTCTCCCCTCCCCTCGACTCCTCTCTCCTCTGTCCTCGACTCCTCTCTCCTTGACTCCTCTCTTCTCTACTCCCCTCCCCTTGACTCCTCTCTTCTCGACTCCTCTCTCCTTGACTCCTCTCTCCTCGACTCCTCTCTCCTCGACTCCTCTCTCCTCCGCACCTCTCCCCTCTACTCCCCTCCCCTCGACTCCCCTCCCCTCGACTCCTCTCTCCTCGACTCCTCTCTCCTCTGTCCTCGACTCCTCTCCCCTCGACTCCTCTCTCCTTGACTCCTCTCTCCTCCCCACCTCTCCCCTCTACTCCCCTCCCCTCGACTCCCCTCCCCTCGACTCCTCTCTCCTCGACTCCTCTCTCCTCTGTCCTCGACTCCTCTCCCCTCGACTCCTCTCTCCTTGACTCCTCTCTTCTCTACTCCCCTCCCCTTGACTCCTCTCTTCTCGACTCCTCTCTCCTTGACTCCTCTCTCCTCGACTCCTCTCTCCTCCCCACCTCTCCCCTCTACTCCCCTCCCCTCGACTCCCCTCCCCTCGACTCCTCTCTCCTCGACTCCTCTCTCCTCTGTCCTCGACTCCTCTCCCCTCGACTCCTCTCTTCTCGACTCCTCTCTCCTTGACTCCTCTCTCCTCGACTCCTCTCTCCTCCCCACCTCTCCCCTCTACTCCCCTCCCCTCGACTCCCCTCCCCTCGACTCCTCTCTCCTCGACTCCTCTCTCCTCTGTCCTCGACTCCTCTCCCCTCGACTCCTCTCTCCTCGACTCCTCTCTCCTCTCTCCTCGACTCCTCTCTCCTTTTACCCATGTACGTTGTATCCCCAGAATGAGGTGTTTCTATAGAAGATGGAACGCACATCGTGATCACACGTCTTGATGATCGTACCTGTAACTCTTCAGTTTATTGATCTGTTATCAAACGTGTCTCAGTCGACTTAGAAGAAATGAAACTCCGTCAGCGCGTGATCGATTTTATTGATTTGAACAATAACAGTGAAGAGAAGCTTTGACAGAAAGAGAGACTCCGTGCACCGAAACTCAGAGAAGGATCGTGAGTGAATAGTTGCATTTAAATGTGGTGTAGAAACGTGTCTTCAGCATCCTCTCTTCACGGGACCTTCAGCATCCTCTCTTCACGGGACCTTCAGCATCCTCTCTTCACGGGACCTTCAGCATCCTCTCTTCACGGGACCTTCAGCATCCTCTCTTCACGGTACCTTCAGCATCCTCTCTTCACGGGACCTTCAACATCCTCTCTTCACGGGACCTTCAGCATCCTCTCTTCACGGGACCTTCAGCATCCTCTCTTCACGGCACCTTCAGCATCCTCTCTTCACGGGACCTTCAGCATCCTCTCTTCACGGTACCTTCAGCATCCTCTCTTCACGGGACCTTCTGAGTCACTTCAAGACTCAAAGAGAGCAAACACACTTTCATTCTGATCAACACGTTCCATCTGATTTAGCTGCTTCCTGATATGATCATTCAAAATGCTAATGATGGGAATTACGAGTCTTTGAAGGGAGCCGGACCTCATGGCTCCGTTCCTTTCCGAGAGCCGTTCAAAAGAGCAGTTTTTTTTTAAGGGGGCGGGGCTACTCGGTTTATCTGTGAAATAATCACCAGGATAGTGATTGACTGTATCGCCAGGAATCTACTTTTACTCACAGAAAAATGTATAACTTGCTCCATCTCTCAGCCAAACTACTACTCAAGCAGCGTTACGCCATCATCTACGGAACATGTGCATTCAGGAAAGCAAGTTGCCGTAAAGGCGAGTGGATTCATGGCAGGCAGTGAACCAACGATAAAAAGAACGACTCGGTTCCCTTCGTTCGTACCAAAGAGCCGTTCAAAAGAATCGGATCGCTCGTGACCGTAACATCACTAATTCAAAATGCACTCAAAGACGTATTAAAGTTCTCCTTTTAATCAACAGTTCCTCAAATGACCAGCAGGTGCTGCTCAAACGACACTACAGAGGCCCTGTTCCTCTCTGGTAGTGCATGTAAACGGTCTGCAGAGGCTAAAATCCCAAAGTTCACATCCATAACATCTGTTTGCTGTTTATTGATCTAATATATCAGATTCCATGTACTTGTATATAGACTCTTCTGGCACTATTTCTATTGTATTTGTATTTACTTGCACATCTTAAAACATTCTCTTTCACGATTTGATCTGTTCTATGTCCTATATATATTCATGCTGGAGGAGGACTTCAGTTTCTCATCTCCATCTCCTCTGAAGCTGCTGAGCTCATGGTGAGAGAGACCTGAATCTGAATCTATTAAAGTTCTCCTTTTGAGAAACAGTTCCTTTAATGACCAGCAGGTGCTGCTCAAAGAAAACTACTTTAACCTGTTAAGCCCCGAGCCTGTTTTTCAGGTTTCAGGCTCAAAAATGACATGCCCAAAACAAATGACTACAACTTCACTTCTAAAAGGGTTATATGAATAATTTCTTTCATCAAAGCAAGGTTACATCTGTGAGTTGGATGTGGAAGTGTCAGAATCAATATAGATGTTTCTCAGTCAGAGTAAATTCAGAGTAACATAGTAAAAAACGGTAAATTCTTACCTCCGCCTAAAGAACAAACATTACTTATAGTGAAAACCACCCTTGAATGATGGGATGGTAGACTAAAAGCTTTAGGAATCCAAACTATAACATATAAGTACCCTGTATCAAGATTGAGGCAAAACAAGTTAAATTTGACCTTTTTAGAGAGGTTTAGCAAAAAAAGGTTCCAGGCAGAATAAGCTTTCGGCACATTTGGGTACATCTGGTTCCATCAGTGCCATTTGACCTTTTTCAGGTACCAGACTATAAAAATGATGTATTACATTGAATTATCACCATAGGTATTCATTCCATCCAAAGAAAAAAAATGAAAATAAAAAGAATTAATAAATAATAAAAAATATTTTAAAAAAGACCCGCCGACGGGGGCTTTGGGGCTTAACAGGTTAAAGAGGCCCTGTTTTTTCTTCTGTGGTGTCCCTCTCCTGAAGTGTGTTGTTAGTGCATGTAAATGGTCTGCAGAGGCTAAAATCCCAATGTATGACACTTTAAATCCACCTGAACACCAAAGTCATTAAGAATCTGTTCGATGTGCGTTTATTTTTTGGGTTTCGGTGCAGAGGAGCGTAGAAACAACCGGAGACAGAACCTCGAGTCACGTGATCAGCGTCGAGGCGAAGAAGCCTCCAGTCAGAAGAGAGGGTGGAGGGGGGGGGGGGGGGGGGCTGTGTGGTGGTGCATTCAGGGACAATCTGAAACATACTGTAAGGAAGCTCTGTTATAACTGTCGGGGGTGAACGTTCTCGTGGCCGGAGGCGAGGACTCGGAGGGTTTGACTGAAGAGGTGAGAAATTATATTTGTAAAATAATAATTAACTTCAGGATAAATGTGTCGTGAAATAAGAAGAACGTGGATTCTTTTTTTTTCTCAAAATGTTGTGCAAAAAAACTAAAGTAATGGCATCAAAATACTAAAAGTACTCATTACGCAGAATAAAGTCTGTAATGTTATTGTCTTACAATTAAATATGAATTGATATTTTCATCACACGCTCAATTTAACTGCTTCATACCCTGCTGGTGTTTATCCTTTATTCAGCTATAGTACTCTGTATAATTATTCCTCCTCAGTCAGTAGAGACGTTCCCCTCTGAGAAGTGAAAGAAATGAAAGGTCTCGAGTTCAGTGGAGGATTTTAAATCTGTTTTAAAAAGTGAAGTTGTTTCCATTAAGACATAAACCGTATATTTTGGTCCTGACTTCCTTTGGTAAGTTTACAGAGCAGCACCTGAATGCACCATCACTGTGTGGGGGTGATTGACAGGTGGGCGTGGCCGTCAGTGATTGGCTGCATCGTGGGGATTCTTCTGCGGAGAAAGAAAGACGTTTTAATAATAAACTTTAAAGGAGCATTTCAGTGTTTTCTGAGGACGTACCTGTGCAGAGGGGGTGGGGCGTGCAGAGGGGGCGGGGCTTACTATCCTCGACCGTTCGGGAGGCGACTCATCCCGATCCGGTCGATGGGGGGCGGGTTCACTCGTTGCCGTGGCAACTCTGATACCTTTCTGCAAAGATAATAAGGAGATAAACATCTTAATGATTTATGAATAATATGCAACGTGAGCAATGAGTCATGAGGCCGGATGTTGGTGGTGGGGATCTACACATAATAACATGTACGACTTATTTTGGACTCACTATAATATTACTTTTTCATATTTTTCTACCTACTTTACTTTGACTTTTTAAAATGTTCAACAAACTATACTGTGACATTTTTCTAAATATTTCAACATACTGTATTGTGGGGGAAACTTCTGAAGCAATTGGAAACAGGACTGATGGGGCTTTCACACCAAGGCGGTTCCAGGGCCGGTTCGGAGCTGGAGCCTGAAAAGCACCGTTTTTCCTGTTCACACCGCAGCGCAGCTCGAAGCTCCGGAATCCGGTTAGTTTCAAGCACCACATTTTTTTCGGTCTAGAAGCAAGAACCGCATACGTCACACTTACGTCGGAGGGGGGCGAGATTAACCTGAGCTAACAGTTAAAGGCGAGTACGGCAAATAAAAGTTGTAACCAGCAGTAGCGCTGAGCAAAGTGACTAGAACGCAACCACACACTTGTAAAAAAAAAACACGCTTTCTAAAGTCAGGCAACACTAACCAGGCTTCGTGTGATTCTGTTTATTTGTACCTTACTTTGACCATCCGTTCGCTGTTATTGATCATTGTGGAGAGCAGGCAGACGTTTGTTATTATAGCAGCTATCGGATGGAATCAATACATGGGCTGCACAGGAGAAAACGGCTTAGCAAGTAGTCAGTTTAGCTTCGGTTGCTATGCTAACATCACCCATGTTATACCAGAGAAACGTTCATAACAGCGTTGTGATGCCAAACAGCGTCAATTCAGACTGACACACATTCACTTAAGGGGAACTGGGGATATGTATCAGCTGCTTGTGTGACAGTCAGACAGTGAATACTTTAGAGCCGTGTGAGCTAACCCGGAGCTAACGGGAGAATACACTCCCGTTGAAGAGCAGCCAGCACTGCAGCGGTCGCTAAATGAAACACATTAATAAACAATGAACCACAGCACTCTGGAGAAAAGTATAAGGTTGGAGAAGTCGTTATTTAATTTAATCTGGCTTCGTATGATTAAAAGCAACACGATCATCGACCCGACGCAGTCCCCCCCCGTTATTGTTGTTGTTGTTGTTGTGAGCTCCGTTGGGGAGAAAATCAGCGATGTAAACGGTGACGTCATGACGCAGCAGCGGCAGCTGGGCGGTGTGAACAGAGCGGGAGCTGAAAAGGGAAACCGGAGCTGAACCAGAAAAGCTCTCGCTAGGAGCTAGAAAGGGAAAAGCGCTGGTGTGAAAGCCGCATTAGAGACACGAGGAGAGCTGGAGCTTTGATGGAGTCAGGACTCAGAGAGACACGAGGAGAGCTGGAGCTTTGATGGAGTCAGGACTCAGAGAGAGACGAGGAGAGCTGGAGCTTTGATGGAGTCAGGACTCAGAGAGACACGAGGAGAGCTGGAGCTTTGATGGAGTCAGGACTCAGAGAGAGACGAGGAGAGCTGGAGCTTTGATGGAGTCAGGACTCAGAGAGAGACACGAGGAGAGCTGGAGCTTTGATGGAGTCAGGACTCAGAGAGAGACACGAGGAGAGCTGGAGCTTTGATGGAGTCAGGACTCAGAGAGAGACACGAGGAGAGCTGGAGCTTTGATGGAGTCAGGACTCAGAGAGAGACGAGGAGAGCTGGAGCTTTGATGGAGTCAGGACTCAGAGAGAGACGAGGAGAGCTGGAGCTTTGATGGAGTCAGGACTCAGAGAGACACGAGGAGAGCTGGAGCTTTGATGGAGTCAGGACTCAGAGAGAGACACGAGGAGAGCTGGAGCTTTGATGGAGTCAGGACTCAGAGAGACACGAGGAGAGCTGGAGCTTTGATGGAGTCAGGACTCAGAGAGACACGAGGAGAGCTGGAGCTTTGATGGAGTCAGGACTCAGAGAGACACGAGGAGAGCTGGAGCTTTGATGGCAAACACTGACGGTTTATTTGGAGCTTCGGCCGGAGAATTCACAAAACAAGTCACAGGCCACGGTCTGACCACACGGTTCAGATGCCACAATCAATTCTGAAGAGCCCTTCCTCTCGTACGAGGTTTGAACTAGTTTGCTGAGGGTCATCAACATTCTTCAATAGATAGACTAAACAGCTGAGGGGTCATCTACGCCCCGAGAAGAATCCAGGTGTCCCACAACAATAACTATCTCTGTCCGAGAGGTGCCCGGTCACAAACTGGCAGCAACAACGACTTGCTAGGGCAGCCCCTCCTTAAGGGAGCTAGCGGCTGCTCGAGGCTGGTCATCTGTGTCAGAGGGTGAAAGAGGACACTCGGGCAAATGATTCCCTGACACTGTGACTTTTTGAAATGTTGAACATGCTATACTTTGAATATTTGAAGTTTTCAACATACTTTATTAGGACTTTTTGAAAACTTTCGACATACAATACCGATTTTTTTTTTCCAACATACTATAGGCTACTATGACTTTTTGAAATGTTCTATATACTTTACTATGAATTTTTTATTCAACATGTGTTAGTGCTGAATATATAAATATATGTATAAAAGTACCTCTGCTTGGTCCCGCCCTGTTTGGTTTCCATGGAGCTGATTGACAGGCGGTCCAGAGGGGCGCTGTTGCCAGGGAAACTCCTCTTCCTCTTCGGCTCCATGACATCATTCTCCATCCTCACCAGCTCGTCCAATCGCAGCAGCTTGGCCGTTAGCTCCTCCCCCTCCTTCACCCCTCCATGACGGGGCCGGAGACCCCCTAGTGTCCTGGAGATGGGCCGGTCTAAACGCTGGAACACAACATATAACTCTTTAAAGTAGAGACACTACATACTGATATACACCTGAACATCAGCAGGAGAGGACTCTTTAAAGTAGAGACACTACATACTGATATACACCTGAACATCAGCAGGAGAGGACTCTTTAAAGTAGAGACACTACATACTGATATACACCTGAACATCAACAGGAGAGGACTCTTTAAAGTAGAGACACTACATACTGATATACACCTGAACATCAGCAGGAGAGGACTCTTTAAAGTAGAGACACTACATACTGATATACACCTGAACATCAGCAGGAGAGGACTCTTTAAAGTAGAGACACTACATACTGATATACACCTGAACATCAGCTGGAGAGGACTCTTTAAAGTAGAGACACTACACACTGATATACACCTGAACATCAGCTGGAGAGGACTCTTTAAAGTAGAGACACTACATACTGATATACACCTGAACATCAGCAGGAGAGGACTCTTTAAAGTAGAGACACTACATACTGATATACACCTGAACATCAGCTGGAGAGGACTCTTTAAAGTAGAGACACTACATACTGATATACACCTGAACATCAGCAGGAGAGGACTCTTTAAAGTAGAGACACTACATACTGATATACACCTGAAGATCAGCAGGAGAGGACTCTTTAAAGTAGAGACACTACATACTGATATACACCTGAACATCAGCAGGAGAGGACTCTTTAAAGTAGATACACTACATACTGATATACACCTGAACATCAGCAGGAGAGGACTCTTTAAAGTAGAGACACTACATACTGATATACACCTGAAGATCAGCAGGAGAGGACTCTTTAAAGTAGAGACACTACATACTGATATACACCTGAACATCAGCAGGAGAGGACTCTTTAAAGTAGAGACACTACATACTGATATACACCTGAACATCAGCAGGAGAGGACTCTTTAAAGTAGATACACTACATACTGATATACACCTGAACATCAGCAGGAGAGGACTCTTTAAAGTAGAGACACTACATACTGATATACACTTGAACATCAGCAGGAGAGGACTCTTTAAAGTAGAGACACTACATACTGATATACACCTGAACATCAGCAGGAGAGGACTCTTTAAAGTAGAGACACTACATACTGATATACACCTGAACATCAGCAGGAGAGGACTCTTTAAAGTAGAGACACTACATACTGATATACACCTGAACATCAGCAGGAGAGGACTCTTTAAAGTAGAGACACTACATACTGATATACACCTGAACATCAGCAGGAGAGGACTCTTTAAAGTAGAGACACTACATACTGATATACACCTGATCATCAGCTGGAGAGGACTCTTTAAAGTAGAGACACTTCATACTGATATACACCTGAACATCAGCAGGAGAGGACTCTTTAAAGTAGAGACACTACATACTGATATACACCTGAACATCAGCAGGAGAGGACTCTTTAAAGTAGAGACACTACATACTGATATACACCTGAACATCAGCAGGAGAGGACTCTTTAAAGTAGAGACACTACATACTGATATACACCTGAACATCAGCAGGA